GCCCCGCCCTGTTCACCTCCTGTCTGACTGGCACCCGAAAGGAGACATCAGGTGACGGGTGCAGCTGTGCCTGGCAGGGGGGTGTGTGTCAGTTTGTATCAAACCGACTGTGGTGCTCGGCCAGCTGACCTGGTTGGAGTGCTGCCTGCTCCACTGCAGCAGGAACAGGACAGCTGTATCCCGAAGCAAGAAAAGGCATCCCATCATGCTTCTTCTCCAGGGTCATATTTTAATATTGCTAGCTAAAGTGCATTTTTAAATAGCTTGAAGGTAAAAGAACACACTGATGCTGTCAGGTTACTTCTTGCCCTCCACTAATGTGGCGTTGGTTTGATGAGTGCCTGTCCTCCATGCAGAGTGGGTAGGGTGTTCATAATGGCAGGTTAATCATTTCCAGCCCTTACCTAACAGTTGTTCAGTCCAGATAATCAATTGTTTATGATCCTCTAACAAATTCCATTGTGTCTGATTTGTGCTTTTATAGAAGCTGGCAGCAGAATGTCAGAGCGCAGGCTACAGTGGCACACTGATCCCTTACAAGTGTGACCTGTCCAACGAGGAGGAGATCCTGTCCATGTTTTCAGCGATCAAGACGCTACACAAGGGCGTGGACGTGTGCATCAATAATGCCGGACTGGCCCACAACGAGCCGCTTCTCAGCGGAAAGACGGAGGGCTGGAGGAACATGATCGACGTGGGTTGAGACACAAACACAAATATAAATGCTTTAGGCTGAAAATAAAAAAGCTAGAGAGAAACATATTAATTTAAAGTGGGGATGGTTAGAGTTATCCTCTTCCTCTGATGTAGTATTGATTTTATGGTTGCACTACTCAAACAGTGAAGCAGAAGTAAGAGCTGAAACGGTTGCTCAGTCTGAGTGGAAGTGTTTGTATAGCTTGTATAAAGAATAAGAGTTAAAGCAGAATGTGTGCACACAGACCCCCCCCCCTCACAGAGGCTGCTTCATCGGCTCTGTAGAGAGGCCCACTAATGAAAGCCAGCACTATTTCTCTTGTTTGGACCTTTACAATCTGATTCATTGAGCCCTTGACCACTGCGGACCCCCTGCTCCAAAGTCCCCGCCTTCAGAGTCCCGCATTTGTAACGCTCGTCCATCTGTTGTCATGGCAGCCTGAATGGATGTGTACAGCAGTGTATTTTTAGCCTGTGTTTAATCTGTACGCTGACCTTGTTTGGTCACTTCCCCCCCTATCTTGCCACCACGTTGGCTTTAACCTGCCCGTCTATCAACGTCATTACAGGAGCAGCTTAGAGGACACAAGCTGGACAGGAAGAGCAGCTTCAGTCTCACACAGTGACCCAGAGAGCACCAGCTCAACTCATGCACTGTCATCATCACATAACACTTTTTATATTGAAAAATCACATTTTAAGGGGACAGTTCACCCTAAAATAAATAAACAAACATATTTTGCCACTTGCCTGTAAAGCTTGTTATCAGCATTGGTTGGTAACGTGTGAGATGTTATATGATATCGCCCCATAGAGACGTTTTCTGTCCAGACAATGGATTTGCTAAAATGCAACTATGCTACTCTGCTTTTGTATCGGGAGTCCTTCCATAGATCATGTTACTCAATATACACAGACTTTGTTGTGAGCAGTTTTTTGCAGAAACTATTTTAATTCTTTCTAGAACTGCCAACTGAGTGTATCAACTAATGTATGATAGGATTGCAACAACTTAAGAAGTAAACGGTAATGGTGTCCTCCTCAGCTGAGCGCTAATGCTAGCTAGCTTTGGTGAGCTCAGGAGAGCCTCTTGTCCATAAGAGGACGATTGCTTCCTCCTCCTGTGCGATGATACGGTGTGCCAGTAGTTTGGTAGAAAGAAAATAGTTCCTGAATGCATCTCAAAGCAATCTGTGGATTATCTTGAGTAACCGGGTCATCATTTCTGGAACGAGACATTGTTTTTTGGATGTATTTTTTTAGCTTTAAGCAGAGTGTCTACTTCTATAATGTCGGAGAAAAGCTAAACTTCTAGGGGCCGACAGCTCACACAAAAACCAACAATCTAAATATTGATAGCTCTACAGGTAATTATAATATACATTTTAGATTTTGGAAGTGTCCTTTTAAGATCTGTAAATGATATCAACTAACTAATGTTTTCTCTTTTACACGGCATGTATTTGGCAGTGAAAGGAACATGCATTGAATTAATGAAAAAAAATGTGTCTTCCCCTCCTCTTCAGGTGAACGTCTTAGCTCTGTCTATCTGCACCCGTGAGGCTTACAAATCAATGAAGGAGAGGAATGTGGACGATGGCCACATCATCAATATTAACAGGTAAGCCATAAATCAACTTTAAATCTAAGAACAAATGTTAAAGGTAATCTGAAAAAACCTCAGTAAATGTGTGAATGGCTGGTATCAGGTAAAGCCCATTGATAGCCTGGACCTGGAACAATGTGAAGGACTGTTGGACTCTTTAATCAATCAATCCATTTCACAAATCATTCATTATAATGCTGTTGTGGAATTATTTAGATCTAGTCATTGATTTAATTTTCTATATTTAGGAACTGTGATGGGCCTGCAAAGCCCTTTGATACTCTGTACTTTATATGATACTAACCTACCTTCTCCTCCCTGTTACAGCATGGGTGGGCATCGGGTGGTGGCGAGTGCCGATGAGCATTTCTACTGTGCCACTAAATACGCTGTGACTGCTTTGACCGAGGGCATACGGCAAGAGCTCCGAGAAGCAAACACCCACATCAGGGCCACAGTGAGTTACATGTTATCAGAGTGCAGGTTCCTTCTGTAGCATTATGCTCCTATAAAAGATCACGTAAATAAGTGTACACGCAGTGAGCTATGGAAGCTCTGAGAGGCTAGAGAGGGAAAACATTTTTTTTGCCAGGGGAAAATAGTTTGCCAGTCAGCTTTTAGTTTTATCCGTGGAATTGTGGGAAAATAAAAAAAGGTTCTGCAGGGACATCCTTTGTTCAGTTATTTTTTTTAAATACTAACTGTGGCCACAAGAGGCTGGAGTACATCATCCCATGTTTTAAAGAAGCAAGACATGAATTTTAATCAACCCTGCTCTACTGTAGCGCTTTCCTCACCTGGTGTACTTAAGACTATTGTGGCCGAAATGAGTGGATTACAAAAGCTATTCTGACAACTTTTTCATCCATTTTCAAAGAGGAAAAACCCACAAAAAACGTAGCAACATTGAGAATTATTCCAGCAAACCTTTTTGTTTTAAGGATGGGTGGAAAAATAACTTTAGATATACATCCCTGGAAACAACTCCACATTTTTCTTGAATCTCATCTCTACATGGATGGCAGCCATTCCATTCCAGTGTCTGTTGAATTGTCAGTAGTTTATAAGATCAAATACATTTATTTTTATTTTACTCAAACACATATCTATAAATAGTAAAACCAGAGAGACGGATAATGCTGCAGTGGGCTCTTAATTTGTTCCAGAGCTGTACTAACCTGTTTTTTTTGAGAGAACAACCATTTTGATCAGACTTATGGATCACTAGAACTTATTTTTATTCCCACACTTGTCATGTCAGTCGGCTTGATAACTTACTGTTATAAAAGTGTGTTTTCATCGAAGTAGTAAGCACTAAATTCCTCTTGCATTTGCCTCCCCTGCAGTGTATATCTCCTGGAATAGTGGAGACTGAGTTTGCCTTCCGGCATCACAACAGCGATCCAGAGAAAGCAGCTGCAGTGTATGAGAGTATGAAAGTAAGAGTCACAAGATGCATTTCACAAAGTGAGAAAAACAAAATTCATTTTCCTCAATAATCCTTTCTTTTTCTCCACTTTTCAGTGTTTGAAAGCAGAAGACATTGCCAGTGCAGTCACATTTGTCCTCGGTGCCCCTCCTCACGTCCAGGTAATCTCTCCTTCTCTAGCTTTTTTCATTAAATGCATCAGCGTCGAATGCTCTTTAGTTCCTGTATTGATCTCCTTTTCATTTGTGCCCCCAGATTGGAGATGTGCAGATGAGGCCAGTGGATCAGGTGTTATAGCATTGACACAGGAGCACACAGACAGCAGCCATGGTGACTCCTTAGCGACCTCTGCTGGGCGAGGGTGGATAGGATTGGGTAGGATGGGGGAGGGTTAACAAATCTGCTACAGCTGTGTTGGATCTGCAGGGATGTGGAGGATGAGGGCCCGAGCCTTAAGGAGGCTGTGCAAGGTAATGAAGGGGCGTGGACTTTGTTAAAACCACTACAAAAATACTACTGAATGCAGCAACCTGGTATTTGTGAATCGTTGAGCCCGGTCCTGAGCTGAGCCGACTCCAAACTACAGTAGGAACAAAATATATTAAAAAGGAGGGAGTCGCTGCTGCTGTGCTCATCTGCACGGCAGTCACTTCAGAGGGAAGAGTATGCCATTGATTGCACATGTTTTTTGGGTTTATTTTGTAGGTCATATGACATATCTTTTTTGAAATAAAATGGAAAGAGTACCGTAATTGCTGTTTATAAGAATGACATTTTTTTTGTTTAATTTTTTTAATAAATATTTTAACTTTTGAGCTTAGGTAGATGTGGTCTCATACTCACTAACCGTAGACGATACTATGTCTGACTCACTATTACTAACCTTAAACAGTCCACCTCGACACCTTCACCTACAGTATGATCTCACAAACTCATTCCGTTTAGAGCTATCCAGGGTTCAACTACTTTTAAGGTATTGGGGGAAGTATAAGTGCCCTTGTCTGTTAAAGTTCTATTTTTCTTTAAGTTTGGCTGTATAATGTACTTATCCATAGTCGGTGAATTGTTGAGACACTTATAAAACATCTGAATTTAAGTGTACGTTAAATTTAAAACAATTTATGACATTTTCTTGGAAAAAGGACTTTGGTGGTTCGGAAACATTTTTGGAAAAGTCACACAATTACATTTGAAACAGGAACCTTTCATGTTCTAAGACTTAACATTTATTATTATCAATTTTGTCAATGGAGTCTGGTGGCTTTTTTTAAAAAAAAGCACACTTCAGTTCCACTTAAACTGATGCAGACTTTATGGGTGGCTAAATACGCGTTGCTGATTCCTCCAATCACAGCAGTACATTGCTTAGCTTCTGTGCTGGTACTCCTGTCTGCTTTTCCAAACTGGGGGGCGTGCCAACTTCCATCAACTGTAGTTAATACACTTAATATAAAATAGTACCTTACACAACGCCACTTTAAACACTGAACTATCCCTTTAAGCACATGGGTTTCTACTATCCACCTTTTTGCAAAATTAGTCGTTCTGCACTTTGGATTCATTTACCAGGAATTACAAGAAGGAAACACTGGGAACTTATATAGGGGAAGAAACTAACTCTGTGTACATGTATACCCTAGAAATGTACCTTTCAGTGGAAATGTCTCCTTAATTGAATGAATAAAAACATTTGCCCGGAAGTAAATGATGGTCTGAGATATGTTCGTTGTAGAAATAAGACACAAGCTGTGGACTTTGAGTTTTTATGACACCGTACATGACATGGCAGAATTGCATGACCCTGTTAACTACCAGTGTGTATTCTTTTATCAGCAGTTCCCTGTAGCATTTGACCTAAGAAATGAGTCAGCCACAATGAATTGGTACACAGTGGTTAAGGTTCATTTGTACGGACTGTGAAGGTAAAAAAGCGGCATTACTTTGACATTCTTTTGGCTAAAATGTAATAAAAAGTGCAGCATTTCATAATATCAACACTCATTCGTGCATTAACCTACATGGCCAAAAGATGGCCCCCTTAGTAAAGTAAACTCCTTGGAGCTGAGGTTTTGGCCGGATATAAACATGTACACAACAAAAACGGATTCTAATTGCTGTTCAACCAAATTTGAAACAAACATTTGATCAACAGGTTTCCAAAAAATACTAATTTTAATGTATCTGCATGTGCAGCAACAACATTTCATAATCATGTGATTTTGATTTACCAGCAGTTTGATGAAGATTAACACTAATGGTAAATATTTGTGATTAATTTGAGCTCCTTAGAGCGTTGTGCAAAGCAGCGAGGTATCACAGGTGTGTCTGCAGTGGAGGTTTTTCAGTTAGATGGATGTCGGAGCTGATGACAGCTAAGCCTGTATTTGCATCTCTTCCTCCCCTCTCGTAGTAAGCCATTTTTGACTTTCCATCCAGCGTGCCTGGTGTGATGGACAGCTTCAGTTTCTGTAGAAGATATGGACAAATAATGTTAACAAATGGCTTGGTTTCATATAAACATAGCAGTGGAGGAAGAAGTACTCGGATGAGAAGTATTATCAGCAAAATGCCCTTAAAGTATCACAAGTAAAAATATCAAATTTCACAGTGTTATATAAACTACTATTAACTGAGAATTATTATAAACTTATGTAATTCAGTTTCATAGGTAAGATACATTTTTTCCAATTGGAGATACTTTGTGTACCACTGAGTATATAAGTTGTAATAGAGTAAGATGTATAATATTCCCTTTTGAGATGTATTGAAGTACAATTATAAAGTTGCATATGGGAATACATGAGTGCTAGTATCTCAAAATGGTCGGTTCGTAAACGCACTTAATTATATTCCACTTCTACTCATAGGTATATCTGCGATGTGTTTTGTGGCATAAAAAAATAAAAATGTATGTCACCTGGATGAAGGAGCCAGGCAGCACCCACAGTGTGTGCACAGCACCCAGAGGAATCCAGATGATGGAGCCCATGGCGATGAGCCAGCCGACCCCCTGAGCCCAGGGGGGGAACACGTAGTCCTCATAGCGTGCTGGTTTGAACTGGATGATGGAGAAAACCAGGATCACCTGCAGGAAAAGAACGCTTAGTTATAAGACTTTTTACATAGATCTCATTATTGCTTTTAGGTAATATTCATTAAAAACAAATTTTAAAAATGGTGTTGACTTACACCAACTAGCACGGGAGCAACTATCAGCCAACACACTCTGAAGAACAGGTTTGCTCTTTTTCCAGTCATCTCCTCCAGGTTGTCTGAAAGTCGAGTCACCCCTGTGCATGGAAGGCTAACTCAGTAAACAGCAATGCATGTTGACAGACTTGACAGCATTTGGCAATGAGAAATAGAGGTAAATATAAGCAGTGTTAGAAAGAAACGAAGTACAATAAATCAAGTATGGTACGTAAGATAATTTTACTTTTCAGGATTGTGCTTTTTTCTTTACTACATTTGTCTGATAGCTTTAGATACTTTTTTCCATTATTATAGAATCTTATCTCATAGAAGTTGATGCCCTGCTATAGATTAAACTACCAACAAGAGTTAACATTAGCACCACCCTACACATCTACAGCAACCAAAATACTAAATGAACATTAATGCAGCAGTATTATTAATCTAAAACATGGAACACAGACTACTTTAACTGCATTCAGCAGACAGTACTTAAATGTGTTATCTTATACACTTTGAATGCAGTTGGAGTATTTTCACAGTCTGGTAATTTATTTAAGTAAAGTATCCTCTTCGTTCACTACTGATATAGGTCACATAAATATATATTTATAATAGTACTCTCAGGTGACATAGATTATCTGGTCTTTGAACACAACTGAACATATGAGCTCACCATAACACCAACAGATGGCTATGACCTCAAAGAATGCAAGAAACATGATGGACACAATGGCAGTGTAATGATCCATGAGCTGGAACACATAGATGCCCACCTGAAATGAGAGACACGCTCTTTAAAACTGCAGGTAAGTTGAAATCGTGACTTAAAACTACTTTGGTTAAAGTTCACCCTTACCTGCATGACACAAGGAATCCCCAGAATAGCTGCTGCGCCACAGACAGCAAGAACAAACAACTCCTTCCTCTTGAAAAACCTTATCAGTTTGTGATAAAATTCATCCATGAGGCTGGTCACCATCACTTCAACCATCGCAAACTGGCAAAAGAAATATCAGTCACAATATATCTCTGAATTGCTGCAAATAATTCAATGTTTATTTCCCACTGTAATGTGTTCCCCATCGTCTACCTCACTGTCCAGTCCAAGGCAGAGCAGCATGAAGAAGAACATCACAGCCCAGAGCTGAGATACTGGCATGTTGGAAAAGGCTTGTGGGTAAACAACAAAAACCAGTCCTGGACCTGGATACACAAACACAGGGGGAAATGACACTAAATCATAAAGAAATGTGATTGAAAGTGCAACATATGAATCATTTATGATGATCTGATCATTTTTTGCACAACTCAGTGTCACTTGACCACAAATACAAAGGTTTAAAATCAAGCATATATTTGGAATTTTAACTGACTTGTTATTGTATTTATAATGACATAATCTCTAAAAAAAAAGCCTGAACTTGTGACCCTTAAACTTGACAGGTTATTCGGACTAACATAAATACTTTCATCAATTTACAGTAGCCTACAGCTTATTTATGGAGCTATTTCAGGGTCATAAGTTTTGATCATTCAAAAAAATACAATTTATTTGAAAGTCCAAGTTTTCATCCTGAACTTTGAAAAATACAATGTTGTATTCAAAACAAAAAAAAGTATTTGAAATAATTTTTCAGGTTGAATATTATTTTTGATTCAGTTCAGCAAAAAAAATTTAAGAAAATATTTATTTTCATATTTCACTTTTATACATATTTTGATATTTGAATACTTGTTTTTTTCAGTTTCAGATTTTACGTTTTCAGATTCAAAACAATTATTTTTTCAGTTTCAATTTTTTTTTCTTTCAGGTTTCAATCTTTTTTCCGCCTTCAAATCCAGGGGCGGCGCCAGGGGGGAGCTAGGGGGTGCTATTGCCAAAGCACCCCCTAAGCACCCCCTAGAAATATGTTTTTTTCTTTTTTTTTGTGAAAATTATTATTATTATTTTGATTAAATTAAATCAGAAAGATTATTGATTACATCAATGCAAATGTGAAACAAACAAATGTTTGACCAAAAACATAAAGCCAACACAGGTGATATGATTAGGCCAATGGCCAGCACCCATTAGATTTTTTACCGTAAAAAATCTAATGGGTGCTGGCCATTGGCCTAATCATATCACCTGTGTTGGCTTTATGTTTTTGGTCAAACATTTGTTTGTTTCACATTTGCATTGANACCTGGCTGCTAAATCCGCAGAACTGTCACAGGGTGTGTATTATGTAAAATGTGTAACTTTAAAAATATAGGCCTATATCATTTCTTTTTTTAATCTTTAATACTTTTTGTATGCATGCTTTAGGTAACATTAAGCTGTCTTTGGCTCTTGTCTGCTGTAACAATGTAAATGTATCCCCTGTGGGACTAATAAAGATATTCTGATTCTGATCGCAAAAACCAAGCCAATATGCTGCGTTCATGGAGCTACGTAGAAGTGGGGAAGGACAACGCTTGATTGCGGATACGTGATTTCAGATTCTAGAACAGTTTATTGCTCTTATACCTTGATTGTTGCCAACTACGATGCTCAACAGCTCGCTTAACGGAACTTTAATGCTGGTATCAGTTTTGTTTACCACCAATCACGGGAGTATTGTGTATAGAAAGTGTGTAGTTGTATTTCTTGCGCTACCTAACATCCATGAAGGCATCATGACAGAGGGAGGGCTGTCACTCAGGGTGCCAAACTACTCTTTGGTAAGCCCCCGAAGCAATATCAGGGTCAAAAGTCTGAAAGCGGAAAAAAAAGATCTGAAAGCGAACAAAAAAGATCTGAAAATGAAAAACGATTTGAACAGTGGCGGCACCAGAGATTTTCTCTAGGGGGTGCTGTGGGGTAGCTTGACGTTTCATAGAGGGTGCTCAAACATTAAGGGTT